CTTTTCGTTTAGGAGATATGCTTTATATAAATATTTAGGGGCCACTCCTACAAGTCCTTAATGGGGTCGTTTTACAAAAATTCAAAGTATGCATATTGTTTAGCACATTAATCTAGCCATCTTTTGTTTTATATTGCTTATCAAAATATTCACCCTTTTCGAGATATGAAGCGTCAAAGATTTGATATTCTGGCCCCTTGTGACCCCTAATTACGTAACATATGATCAAAATTGTATCATATATTGTTGCAAATAGTTAAGATAAATACTTTTGCTTCAGTAATGTATAACAAAATATTGTTCATTAGAGAGTTATAGATAAAAGACTTTCGGCCTCTCTGAGCCCCTAATTTTAGGGGTCAGCCCCATTTTTTTGACATCAAATGAAAGGCCTTGTGATTTTGCACATTTTTTCTTCAATAGGGTCTGTAAGTCTCGTTAACTTTCACTTTCGTTTTTTAACTTCCGGGTACTTGAGGCGTTCTTGGAGACAATGGAAATACCGCTTGGCATTTAGTTTTAAGCCTCGCGGTGGACTAGCAGAGCCTGTCATGTCGTTTGTTTCCCGATTATTAAAAAGAAGAGGATATAATGGATTGATTGATACAGGTAAACAGCGTTTAACTGCTTTATTGTTTTATTAAACGACGCACATACATGATACAAGCCATTCCGAATGGGTCACGATTCGCAGTGTGGTTGGCGAACATTTTAAAGCATAAAGGAAAAATTAAATAGTTTTAAAGCTGAAATAATGTGTTTCCAAACTAAAAAGTTCACTAAAGATTGGTTCCTTAAATTTTTTTCATTTATTTAGCACACAGGACAGGTACATAGAATGGGGGGGGGGGGGCTTAACCAACAAAATAAAGGTAAACACCAATTTTCAATGCCTATATTATGTTTATATTTGCAATAAAAAGGGGGCTAAAGCCTATGTATTATACTTGAATTACAGTAGAAATAAAATAGATTAACTTGTTATGTACTCTATCCAGATATAAAAATTTCAAATATTACTTCTTTCAATGTAAACAGGGATGTATACACTATATATTCAATTTCAATATAACTTGTATAGCCTTATGCCTCCCTTCCCGAATACTCTTACAATTATGAGACAGACTTTTTTTTTCCTTTCTTAAAATAGGAATTAGAAATAGGAATATTTTTTTTTAATGATTAGGCATTTGTCAGATGGATCAATCTAACGTTGTCTCCAAAAAGGCAATAACTGGGTCCATAGGACATTCATCCTTCAACGATAGAATATTTTATCTACATTTGTCATATTTTACAGGGATCCAGCAGATACGGAAAAAGGGACAACACTTCAACTGAATGTGTCATCCATATACCGGTATAGATCTATTCTGTTCATGAGGCATACATACTGTAAATGTATTACATTTGGCGTGTACAATATTTGGTGGAAATTCAATTTTCAACAAGTTAGCATACTATTAGATTTGATTTAGTGCAATCTGAATGTGCTAGTTATTAAATTCATATACAAGACATTTAGTGATGTACTTGGATAGGCAGACTATGTTTTCCGCTAAATAAAATATATGGCTAAATGTAATATATTTACATTATGTATTATAGTATATCTCATAATTCTTATACTCATGAAGAGTGTGACAACTTCCAAGTAGTTAATGATGGAATTTAATTTCTTTTGTATTGGATAAATTTTTTGGGCTGCACTTTTTTTTCTTCATTATCAAACCTACTAGTTCATTTATTTATCAAATTCACAAAAGCTCACATACAATGGTAAATAAATTAAGTAGAATGAACCATAATACTAGTTAAATTTGGCACATACTTTCTTATTAAATATCAAATTTGATTGGTAAAAACATTTGTTAACAAATACTTTTCTCATTCGGTGTGCCTAACATTACATCCCCATGATTCAAAATGCACGTTGATAGGTACATGTAACTTATCCATAAAAAAAGCTAACTGTGCAGAGTGTTTGCACACTTGTTTCAACGAATAACATTTTCTTAAAAATACTTCAGTATAACAAGACAAATATTGCATGTTTATTTTGATACACTATATATGAACTTGAGAAAAAAATTAAGGAAGTTGACATTGTATATTTGCTAGTTACTTGTGTAATTAGTTATATATATATTATTTAGGATGTACACAGGCATAATATATCACTGTTAATATTTGAGAATGTATTCATTTTTTCTGTACATGCTCACTTCCACTTTAATACATTTGCCAGGTTCTTGTGAAAAGTGTTTTATTTGGCACCATTCAGCTACAAATACCCAATGTACTCTTTGCCGGTGGAATTGTGACCTCAATCAACTGCTCATGACACTGCTACATGGCAGAGAATTTTCTTCTGAGACAAGCAAATTGTTTAAAACATTTTACACCTGCAGGTTAGTACTTATAAAATTTTGTTTGAAGGATAATAAAGGCTAACAAAATCTGAAAATACAAGCCAGATGTAGTACAAAAGTGTTGATACAAGTCATTTAAAATTTTCATTTCTTTGCAGGTAGTGATGACTGCAACAGAAGTTTTTATCAGGATCTCGTCCGACATCATAAGTACAACTGGTCACTGTGATTTCTTAAATAAGAGGACATATTGTAAAGGCGGTTACATATGTACACGTGGCTCCAAATGATGCTTGACTGTTTTCCTTCGCTTTATACGTAAACCTGGATTCTCTGATGCAGTAATATAGAGCCATGTCATGTTTTAAATCCCATCTTCCCACTGTCACAAAGTGCTGAAATAAAATGATTTTGATTTAAATATATATTTTTTGTTTTTATAAAATATATCAAAACATTTTACAGAAATTAAAATACTGTACAAGTGGAAATTTTAGCGAGATCATGATGCAAATTTATAGTGATTTGTCCTTAAAATTTGGTATTTTCTATTTAGCGAGAAGTAATTGTAGCGATTTTTAAAAGCTTAGTAACTTTATAATATTTGTATATAATTTTCATTAACATAATTATTACAACTTAAACACATTTAATTTTCAGTGATATTCAATTTTAGCAATCTCAGAAACCTAGCTGATAATGCCAAGCTAAAAATTATGCTTATACGGTATTAAAACTACCAATTAAATAAGTATCTTAAATGAAAATCATTTGAAGGTTTTGCTGATAGGGTAACTTACCTTTAATAATGTCATGACAAGTGAGGCACATGGCTGGTCTTCACGCTGGATGAGTTCTTGATCAAATCAGTGATGTCCTAAGATTTCCAGATATGCTGACAAAAACCTGTAATTTAGCAAACTTCTGTAAAATATCATTCGAATTATTGCACAGTTGTTCCAGTATGCATTACTGATAATTTAGGTGTAATGAGTTATAAATCTGGTAAATATCCATTTACTGGATATTTAATACAAATCTTAACCTTCTTAATTAAATTTTATCAATATTTTCACAAGAAAATCAGACTAAAAATTGTCCTTTTTATACCAAAAAATGTTTAAGGCCTTTTCATAAAAAAAAAATTGATTAAAAATATTTGTTTTACACACTGTGTTTTCATATCTATATAGAGTGCCCCTACTAAGGCCAACAATAACAAAATGATTTGTTTGATGTACTCAGACTGACCCATTCAAATCTGCCCTACCATTAGTAATCATTTTTTCAGCACTTCAATTTTTTTGAAAACTTCAACAGATTTCTGAGTCTGTGATTTTTAATATGACAGTTATCAATGTTTTTCAATACTGTAAGGCAAAAAAAACCCCTACCAACTAATCTGGATTAAGTCTGGATACAAACACATATTTATAAATTAATGATCGATGGCCAATGTTGACAAGTTTATTAGTCATTTTATAAAAAAAAATTAAATTCATGTATATATAATATTATACATTATATTATTGGGCGAGGGTAATGCATTACTGGACATCCATGACCTTTTTGTAATATTTTGATATACTATGTCTTATGAAAATAAATTCTATATATATGTCCTAGAACTTATTCTGTTGCATCAGTTTTATACCTGTATTTGATTTGCATTTTTAAGGCGGCTGATCATTCAAAGTCAGTTTAGTCTTATGTGCTTGACTAGATCTTTCAGCAACAGCATCTTTCATCTGTGTTGCCATGGTTACTGCCTGGTTCTCTTGTACTTCTGCTATAAAATAAGTTTTAATGTATATAATTGTATGAGATCGATGAATAAATTGAATATACAGAAAGTATAAACACCATACTGTCTGAAGTGATAAATACATGTATGGTCATTGTATTGAAGTGATTTGAATTTTGTTAAATGTTGAATGCAGCGAAATACTTCATATAGCAAAATATAATTATATGAACATCTTATCTTTCGGAAATTGATCTAAAATAGGTGATCCAGTGACACACAACAGGTAAAACTTTATTTTTAAAAAATATATTTACCGATGCAAAAGTGATGCAGGCTCCACAATATGACGTTTGTACCCATCGGACACTGACAAAACTTCTCCTCTATAATTAGCTGATAATAACATTATCGTCCTCGAATTCGAGAAAAATCTGTTAACAAATTTAGGCGAAAGATGATTATGAATCTATTTCATTCGGGTATAAAGTATAACACTTCATTTTCTCTCAAAATAAACAAGAAACAGTTGACATTCTCTGATTGTTTACCTGTACTTCGATCGAATTTTTCCTGGTGGACACTCGCACCCAAGCTTTTATGACACGCAATTCATCCATCGTAAGTCGGAGAACCCTTCTGCTTTGTAAAACTACTTAACTTTTCCTCGAAAGCTTTGTATAAACCAGAAACATGCTTAACTCAATACACAGTTCCTTGTGTCATGTACCCGGAAGTGAAAATTATCGTAGAATCTCGCGAGTCACGTGACGAGACTTACAGACCCTATATGCTTTAACAAATTATGAACGCGTATGAAGATATGAAACAAAATGTGTCAAATTTTGTGAGATATTTCTGAGACATTTTTTCGGGCCCTACCGAGCTCCGGCGCCTTTTGCGCTAGAAAGATTTGGAGACCCAATTACAACTCACCAAACCTTCCTTTACTTTCACTGAAAATCTTAAGTCGATATCTTTAGTCGTTTCGGAGGAGTTTCCTGGACAAGCCGACCCTCTGAAAATCAGAAAATCGACCATATCTCACGACCGGAAGTGAGATCATCAAAAAGCAAAAAAACCTATCAAGATCAATTGAATATCTTTCAGATCTGAAAGTTTGGTATAAATCGGACGAGCCATCTCTGAGAAATCGCTTGCACAAAATCGGTTGGAAGAAAAATAATAATAATAATAATAATAGGGAAAAAGAAACCGAACGAAAACAATAAGGTCTTCCGTTGGAAACGGAAGACCTTAATAATAAGATCTCAATCAGAATTTTTAAGTCTTAGTTTATTTTAACTTTGGTAAAATATTTTATCTGCTATTACTTCCAAGAATACGACGTCAAGTGAAGTATCAACACAGTCAAACAGGTCAATGTTGTGATGTCGTCTGTGGCTTCAGAACGAGTATCTAGCATCAGTGCCACTGTATTTACATGCACAAGGGCTTGCCTGAAACCTAAGTGGATCGATGCCTTGATTTTTATGAAGAAAAATATGGGCAAATAACATTAATCTGTCATACACTTGTCCATTCAAAGAGAATAAAAAACAAGGATTTAAAATGTTTTAATATTGTAAATTTTTTGCTTTAATCAAAGTACACTATCACCTCTTAAAAAAAAAATTGCAAATAATAGTTTATTCTCATTTGTCTGTATCGGCAATATGTATCGCATATCGCACCACTGTATTGCAATATGTATCGTATCGAAAAATTTCTTTCAATACCCAGCCCTAAATAGCACATTGCTCCCACCCAACAGATGATTCCTACCTCCTTCATGAAAGAGTCCAGCTAAGTTAAGTAATCGCAATATCAAGTATTGTATCAAAATTTTCCTAAATATTTCATCTAAAATTAAAAGTATACTTTATGTAAATCTGTCAAATCTCTACAACTTATACATATCTCATGAAGATTGAAGTTTTTGGCCTGTAAAATATAATACACACACGAAAAAGGGCAAATTGAGTCATTTTTTCACACTTTTAGTGTTGTAAAATTGGACAAATTTACTATTATCAAATTGAATCAGAAGAACACAATCACTTATATAATTATATAATTGATAATTTTAACTGTTATAAAAGGTTAGATTTATTCATCACTAGAAGTATTTTAAAAAGACAATGCACCAGGATATGGATATAATAATTATAACCTCTTCACCATGCACGTTCTCATTTTGTTTACTGCTGATTAGAGTGATGTCCCTTTGGTGAATATAAAAGTTAAACCTGCTCGGCTTGAGAAATATGGCTTGAAAAATATAGCGATCTATCGATGATAATATTTACAATCGATTGTCGCCAATCTGGGCCTTTAAACAACGATTTTTCGATAGTCAGCGACTATCATAACAACACTACACACTTTTTAAAACAATGTTTTGAAATGTATGAGTGGGTCTTCACTCCACTTTTTTTTTCAAGTTTATCCTCAAAGTTTGCATACAAAATGAAATATACTATTTTGATTTACAAAATTATGGAGTAAAAACCCACTAAACCTTTTAAAAAATTATAATTTTATGATATAACTTTTGTATCTTTTCGAGAAAAACTTGAAGTCCACAGAGTCAATGGTCATATCACAAACATGATTTAAATGCCAATCCTCATCAGGACTTGTGTAGCATAGTGGTTAGCTTGCTAGTCTCAGTAGAGAATGCTACTCAGGATTTTTATTGCTAGGGTTCAATCTAATGGATACATGTACCACATTTTTTATATCTGTGATAGTCAGTTGGTGAAAAAACTGCAACAAAAATTGCGTACAGATCTCGAGACACGTGGATATATAGGAAGTTGACATCGAATTTGCATAAAAATGAATCTCACTACCGGTATATAATATGCCTCGACAAAGAGTGTTAAAAAATTTCAAAATTCTTGCTACCATAGTAGTTGCTGAAAAAAAAAACATAAAAATTTACACGCACAGATAAACAGGAAGTTGATGTGAGATTTCCTAAAAAATTAATGCCACCATTATCCCTCAATACAGTCGCTTGGCCAGTTCCGAATAATAAACGGATTCGGCGGTGCCATAAATATACTAGGCATTATTTCAAAATCTAAGTGTTTTGTCAAGGTAGTTCGTTGACTTGTGGAATTAAATATTGTTTCACAGAAGTTCAGCCTTCCCTCCAAAAAAATTATTTCGCAAGTTACCATAGGTGTCCATTTTACCAGTTACGAATAAGCCGACGAGTTCCGGATAGGCTAGAGATTCTTATTCATTTCAACTCTTAATTTAAAAATATACGTCCCAGACGCTATCCATTGGCATGCCTAAGAAAAGTTAAATCAATTGCTTACCAATAAATTATTTGTATTTCCAAACGTTGAAGAGAAACTAGAGGTACTGTGGGCACTGGGCTCATTCTAATGATACCTCACACCTCCTTTATGATTATATGACAAAGCCCATGTTTTGCTCTGGGAGACCCGAAATAAGTATAAGATCAAAAAGTAAAATAAAAGGTAACAATGTCACAATATAATAAAGAATCTGTGAAAATATCATTAAATCTAATTTAGTGGTATAGGAGGAATTGCGGTTAAGAGATGGGTATACCTTTCAATATTACAAAGAATTGGAATATATCTATGTTTTCTCAGGGAGCCCGAATTATGTGCCTGCTCCAAAAATAAAATACTAGT